TTTTAAACGTATTTATTTATTTAGTGGTTCATTTATATGTTTCTGCTTTTATTTCTAATTATGTCAGTGTCGGTCCTCCATACAGCAGAACTTGGAAGAGGTAATTCAGTGACTGAATCAGGTGTGTTGGAGCAGGGAAACGTAAAACATGCAGGACTGCGGCCCTCGAGGACCATGATTGCCCACCCCTGCTCTAACTGGACTCTGAAAACGCCGTTCTGCAAATCGTGAGTTTACATTCGAGTCCAATCTTCTGCAAATTATTGTTGGGTGGTCGTTTTAACGTTTTTTAGTTTCAAAATGCAAAATAAACTTACTCTCTGAAAACAAAGAACAAGAGAGAGAGACAGTGAGCTTTAGACTGTGAAATGTAAAAAAAAACCTAACAAAAAAACAGGTTTTGACTTGTCTGCAATTAGTTTAGTTTTGTTTGTTTGCTCACCTCTTTTTCAGCAAACCACTGAAGTCAAGCTCTCCCGAATCTTCTTTTCCATCTGTGCTACTGCAAAAATCACACAGCATCAACAGCAAACACTTTATTTATGCCATTTAATTAAGCTCCTGTTTGAAAGTAAAGACTGTTTTTTTTCCCTGTGAAAATTACAGTAAACATTCACAAACTAGACTTGATAGGTTAATTCTGTAAAAACTGAAGGATTAAAACAGTAAATTATGCAGACAGTTGTTTTGCTTGAGACACAGTTGCTGATCTGTTAAATCTGGACTTATTGTGGTTCACAGTGAGGGGGCAGGATAAAAAGAGACATGATGTCATGACGTGTTTCCCCCGCACAAATCTCAAAGAAACTTTTAAGCCACGAGCAGCAGCGGTAATCAAGCAACAACAACACAAAACACTGGTTGTGGGGAAAGAACAGGCAGGCAGTGTGCATCAGAGTCTTGCTTGTGTCTTTATCAGTGGGAGATAAAAACCGAGAGCAAAGATTTGGGGCCTTGTGCTCGTCTCGTGCCTCTGATCCGAGGTGAGTTTCTTTATCTGTGCGGTGAAGTTACAACACAACGCTTCCTCTGTGTGGTCGACCCCACTTGTGTGTTCTCACACAACAAGCTGCAACTTTTCAGGGTTTGTTCAGCTGGTTCTGATGTTTGGATGGAGACTCAGGAGGAGATAAGACAGAGCTGACTCACGCAGATGCAGCTAATTAACAGTTTTTAGCAGTTTTACGTTGATTCACTCATCAGGGGTGGAAACGTCCTGATAATTTGGGTCTTTTAAGGATTTATATGAGACTCTTTTTCTTGGTCAAACTGTTTAACAACATCAAATTTTCAATGTATTGTGGATTTTTATTATTTTATTTTTTGTCCTATTATTTGGTGAAATATTTCTAAATGTTCAACAATCTTCTGGTATAATTCTAACTGAATTTTTGACTTTTTCTTCTCTGTGGCAAAACTGGCAGAGTTTATTTAAATTTTTCGGTGTCCTGGTTGTACTGGCACATTTTAAGTGGAGCTGTGGTTTTAGGATTTTAGGTTAGTTTTTGCTGCTTTACACTTCAAAAACTGTCCATCTAACCAAGTTTTAAAACCTTATATCAGCCAAAAAGTCTTTTTGATCTTGTTTTGAGACTGATTTACTAAACAAGAACTGAATGTGTAAAATTATTAATCTTTTTTCCAGGATGTGTGAGATTATTTATGTCATTGGCCTGAAAATTTGACTTAAATTAGGTGAAAAATTTTGCCAATAGAGTAAGAAAATTGTGCTTCATAAGATTCTTTAAATAAGAAAAACTTGATTAAAATCAAGTATTTCAAGAATCTTACCAAGTAAAATTGTCTTACTCCATTGGCAGAATATTTTCACTTGATTCACTTAATTTGAGTCAAATTGTGAAAACCCTCACTTTAAAGTGCCTGTGACACCAAATTTTTTCTAATAGTTATGAATGCATTTTTGTAATTATAACATTGATAACATATTGCAAATAACATTTCACGCTGCTGAGACAAACAGTTGTTGAGACATTTGAATGTGAAGTAACAGGAAGTGACATCAAAGGGGAATGTCTGAATGTAAACAAAGCATTGCTACAATGACTAACAGCACAGACTGTAGAGAAGAATCTGTTTCTTTAGATCATAAAGTCAAAGTTTAAATATTGTTTCAATAAACAAAAACAGGGAGTTCCTTTTCTTAAAGAGTTCCCCTTTGATGTCACTTCCTGTTTTACTTTGTTTGATCCAAGTTCAAAAGAAAATCTGCCAGTTATGTGATCAAATTGCTAAAATCACATATCAAGTTTTTTAAATATACAGATGTTTTCTTTGACTTTTTGTAACTGAAGGATAAGCATGTCTCGAGCACTTTAAAAGATGATTTTTTTTAGTTTCTGTGGCCACACAGGTTGATATTTGTCTTGTCTGAATTATTTGAACAATCTCTGTGTTGTGTGTTTTTATAACCTCTGGAAAAAGTACGGTTCAAATAAATCAGCTTGAAGGGCTCGACACACGGGAGGCGACGTCGCTCGCTCTCCATTCATTTCCTATGGAGCCTGTGCGGTGAGGCGACAATCGCTTGCCCTCCACCAGCTAAGCGACCGGCGAAAATAGTGCATGTGAAATTTCGCGCTCGTACACGTAGACGTGCACACGCGAGCTTGCGACATATGAAAGTTGAAAAATGTTCAACTTTTGTCTCTGTCGCTTAGCGTACAACCAATCAGCGAGGGTTTCATTGACTGACCAATGAGAGGATGCTAACCCATTCCTATGCTAACCCTTTTACCAAGTGATTACTAAAAAGCTTTGTGGGAATTTGTTGACACCAGGGTGAAGTTTATGGTAAGTTTTTCCTCATAAAATTGTATCTTGATGTGTGTTTGTTTTTCAATATCATTAGCATCGCAAGATTTGTTTAGTTTACACGTCTGTAATGCACACCCGCCTTCATAGTCAAGAACCAATCAAATTTTGTGAAGACAAGCGATCTGAGAGTGCGATTCGCAACGCTGCGATCGCTATCGCGTCCCGTGTGTCGGGCTTCACCCTGGCTGCGATGACAGCCGTTAATCGCTGTAGTTTGTCGCTSCCCGTGTGTCGAGCCCTTTAGGCCAAAATGAGACGTCGTGTCCGCGAGACGTAAACCTCTGACTGCATCTGCGTCTTTAGATTTCTCCTTATCTTCCTCCTGAGGTCCGTTTCAAAACTTTGTGAACTGGAGGCAACAGAATCCACAACACTGGATTTGTTTGAACTGGATGCAGAAAGAAAAGGACCACGGAGGAGAAATAAAAAAAAAKCCCCAATAACATCTGATCCTGGTCCTGATTTCTCTGTTCCTTTTTTAACAATCAGAGTGCTTTTACCTGGTTTACTGAGATGCATCAGGACAATTAGAGTGCTCAGAATTTCAGATCCAAGCCTCCATAATTAAAACAAAAACCTTTACTACCTGATCGCTGGTCCACTCCTCTTCTTATCACCGTCGCTCCTGACAGGTTAGCATTTCCAGAGTTATTTTACACACAAACTATGTGAATAATCCACTGTAGTTTATTAACAGCTGTGTTTGAATTTTCTTTATTCCTTTTAGAAACTGTTTCCAAACTGTACAATATTATTTGTTGAAAAGAATGCAACACACCTAGCATTGGGGGTGGGGTTTGGCTCGTACTTAAGTTTTAAATTCMGTGTACAGATCTTGTTTTCAAAGCCACTTACGTGCGTCTGAAAGCGGTCCTGATGTCCAGACCACCAGGAGCACGGGCCTCTGAAAACGCCACAAAAATCCAKTGTTGGCTCTTTGACGCTGAACACCACCATCACAAACAACGACAGCGGGAGACGTTACACAACACTCACCGTGAACCGTCAGGTCAAAGTTGCAGCTGTCAAACTTGTCCTTGGATGAAACCTCACATCTGTAAGCTCCTGCAAAGTTTGGCTTGGCGGCGATGATGTGCATCTCAAACGTGTACACCTGCAGACGCGTGCACGAGGACACGAGAAGCAACAACGTGAAAAAAAAAAACGATTTTACCCCAGATAGGAAAACAAAGTTTTATTTTTGCAGTTCATCATAAAGGGAGCAGTGATACAGGCTTTACTTCTTTTTTTAGTTGATTTGCCCGCACTTCATCTCTTTATTAATGCAAGTAACTGAGAACTTTTTGTTGCGCCACTGACCCAACCCTGAGCACTCGTTTGTTAGCTCTTTAATTAAATAAAAAATAAAATAAAATAATAAAAAAATTAAATAAAATAAACAAATATCAAGATTTGCAATATTTTTTAATTCCTTGTGTAATTTCCCTCAGCTCACCTTTGTGTTACGGTCGAACGTCTCCTTCAGCTGCAGGTGTTTTCCACTCTTGCTGGCGAGGTCCATCCACTTCCCTTTGAACCATTTAATGCTGGGTTTCTTCAGCAGCGATTCCGTGTTTACTTTAGCAACAAATGTGATGTTTTCACCTGCCATGAACAGAAGCAGCTTTATTTTTTCTACATTGAAGAAAACATATCCTGTTTTTAAATCCTATATAAAGTGGAACTGCAATGAATTCCTCCTTCCTGTAACTCCACAAGCCCCGCCACTTTTCTGAGGAGTGTCTCAGATCAACTCATTTWGAGGCTGTCTTTTTAAACCCAAATGAGGTGCTTCACACCTTGCCCCCCTCCAGCTTCCAGACCAGTCCATGCTAGTTTAATAGACATGTTTACGAGCTTGTCCATCCAGCCTTACATGTTGGAGCCAGAGTCTGACCCACTAAGCAGTTGTTTTTCCAGTTGTTTGTTAAAGCGATGAAATAAATTTACATAGCAGTGCGCTCAGTGATGTTTAAAAACATCATGTAGATTTTTGTATTGCATCTATTAAATATTTCAATAATAGTTTCCAACAGATAATATGCTGTGGACGGTGAAGAACATGGTTTGTAGTTTTGCCTCCAACAGATGCGTTTCAATAATTTTGTTGTGAAGTTTCTCACCAACGGTGACTTCTCCACTTTGAGGTCTCTCTGTGAAGAGTCCGGTCAGGTCCTGCCTGGTGTCTGGAGGGTGTCCATCTGCAGGTCCAGCGGAATGTGTAACATCAACACAAAAAAGAAAAAAAAAAGATTAAACAAACAGGAAACAGGTCACAACCTTACAGCTGATGAGAAAATTACCATTCAGACACTTTGAATACAGTTAGAAAACAAAGCTTTGAGAACTGTATGTCTGTCTGTTCATCCATCCATCCATCCATACATCCATCTGTCCATCATCTGTCCATCCATACATCTGTCCGTCCATCCGTCCATCCACACAGCCATCCATCCATCCATCCATCCATCCATCCACTGATTCATCCATTCATCCAACTATCCATCCATTCATCCATCCACCTACCTATACCTTCATCTATCCATCCATCCATCCATCCATCCAATCCATTGATCCATCAATTCATCCATCCATTCATCCATCCATCAATTCATCCATCCATCCATCAATTCATCCATTCATCCATCCATCAATTCATCCATTCATCTATCCATCCATTCATCCATTCATCTATCCATCCATCCATCCATCCATCCATCTATTCATCAATTCATCCATTCATCCATCCATCAATTCATCCATCCATCCATCCATCCATCCATCAATTCATCCATCCATCCAATCCATTGATCCATCCATCCATTCATC